CGCAATTCGAATGTTAGCATCAGGAAGAGAAAGGTACTGCAGCATAAGCAACTCACCGCACTGCTTTCCAGCATGCTTCCGCTAATCTGGGTCTTGGGGGGAAATCGGAAGCCTTCGTCTTGCAGCCTCCGGTATGTTTCGCCGACGTAGCTCAGGTCCATACGGCCCTGGGCTGCCATAGCCCAGTCCTGAATCAATTCTAACATTTTGGCCTTCACGTCGGAATTTAGCGGAGCACCCTCAGTCTTGAGAAGCGAAACAAGATTATCCATGAACTCGCGCGACGCAATCTCCGCCAAGAAGTGAGTACCGCCATTCTTCACGCATGTGTCTGTTAACTGCATGGGAAACCACCCGTCAGCATGGAGATATCGTTGCAACGAAGTCGGGTAGCCAACCTTCAATGTCGCCAGCTGTATGTTTGGGTTTTTGTTTTCTAACCGGCGTTTCAAGCATCTCATAGCATCTTTGGGCTGGACACCCTTCGATCGGATAAGGTCGGAGATCTCTAAGTTGAGCGCAATGTCCTCTCTGCGCCAATTGTTAGAAGTCAGTTGGTGGTTGACTGGATGGGGGCCGTTTACAGGCCGATCACGGTCGAAATAAGACATGGGAAGAGAAGGAAACCTACAGGGAAGATGCGGTGGCCTTCTCCACCTGATCCTCGATCGGTGACGTTGAAGAGAACCACCCCGCCATGTTGACAGTGCGCAATGGATGATAATCTGACGATGGCGGAGCCCAGGATCGCTATGACGTTGGGTAGCAGCGACAAGGGGAAGGGAGGGGCTGCTGGGTACAGTCCTAGTCGGTAGAGTAGAGGGAGAGGTGAAACTAGAGAGATGACCAGATCACGACCCGGGTTGCTTCAGGAACAGACCAGAGTTGGAAAGTCAAGGGCGAAAGAAGGGGAGTCGACAGCAAGCTCCAGGCAGATCGAAGCGATAACAGTAACGAGCAATGATGGCGGGAGGTACCATCTTACCTAATGCAGTAGGCAACAATGCGGCCCCGCCATTGGTTGGGCATCATGAGTCAGCGGGCGGTCCCAGGCAGCCAGGGTCAAGCAGTGGCGTCATAGGCCGGGCGGTGAGTAACACCACCATGACGATACCGGCGCATTACATACCGACTTACCCCAGAAACATTCATCCCAATTCATCCAGTTCCATCCCGCAACGTTGGCTGCCTATCTGGCCTGGCAGTTGTCCGATTCTCTCCTCCTTGAGGTCCTGCGCTCTCTCTTTCTTGCATGTTTGTTCCAACTCTCTCTGCCCGGGCCTGTCTGTCATTGCGGTCACCATCGGTCTTTTCCTCTCCGACTTCCCCGTTATCCTTCCAGCCAGTCCCCTTCGATTTCCGAACCCGAGTTTGACCAGATTGCCCCTCGCCGCGTGTCCTACGAAGCCGTCCTCCAGGTCATGTGCTGGGATTCGGCTTTCCTCGCTGTGATATAATGTCCCCAGATGCAGCGGCCCTACCCTCTCCTCCAGACTTTGCACCGTGGGATAACGCTCCCCGCCGCCCTCAGTCCCTCGGTGGTATGCAGCCGGGCGGGAAGTCAATCGCCGCCGGACTAGGATCGTATCAGGCCAACAACAGTTATGCGTCCCCCGCCGGGTCTCAACCAGCTCGATTCCCCAATATCAAGGATCTCCAAGATGAAGCAGCAGCGCTTGATCTAAACGATAATACGTCGGTTGGTTCCCATTCCCTATGCACTTAACGGGTGACGTTGCGGATGACTGACCCGCTTTCCGTACAGCTAAGCATTCTGCTGGAGCGAGCGCAAGTGGCCATAGATCGAGCCCGTGAGCTTGCCGACACCGATCAACTGGATCGGGCTTATGTGCATTACCTGCGAGCGTCGGAGATCACCATAAATCTAATACCTAATCACCCTGACTACCGAGCCACTGCCAGCCAACGTCCAGGATGGTACAAACGATTCGGGGAGTTGATGATGGTATGCCGTGGCTTCCCAAAGCACATCCAGTGCCGTGACAAGTCGTGATGTCTAATATTCGTACAATGGTGGCTAATTTGATGGTGACAGGCTGTGCGGATGAAGCAAGGGACAATGGATGATATCAAACAACAAATACTGGAGAACAATTTGCTGAGCAACGTGCAGCCTGGTGGGGTGTCTTGGTCGAACCCTCCACGACCAAGATCACAAGTGGTGTCTCCTGAACTTGGGCAGACTCCGGGCCCAAGAGGTCGCCCTATTGACGCTGGCAACAATTCTTTGCGGATGCCTAGCCCCACGCAATTCCAACGATCAGCCCAAGCAAATGCGAAGATGAATCGTTTTTCGAGTCCTGCTGGGGATGCACTTGCTGAGAGATTTGCAAAACTAAAAATGTCGCCGCCTACTCCATCTGATGTAGGTTCTATGTCCAATGGCCAAAACGGTACTACCTCAACACCCCCGACTCAGGATCTCCCTTCTCGACCATCCTCCCAAATGTCTCAAGGGGTACCTCCGCGGCGGCCTCTAGGGCCCCGTAGTATGGGTTCCTCCCATAGCGTACCAACTATACCTCCGAAAGTGCCCCCTAATACATCTCTTCCTCGCGCTCCCGATCCAACTTACAGCCCGATCTGGACAGTGCCTTCACAAGGACCCTCAAACCCACCCAGGACCTCAGTTGAAAGCTCTCGTCCCGTCAATCCACGGTATTCTCAAATTACGTCATCTTCTCGCAGTAGTCTTAGCCATGATGGCTTCGACGACAATCCTTACAGGTCGCAAACTCCGAACGGTGTACATCAGGCGAAGGAGGTTAAAAGCAGTAGTGCAGATCTCCCTCACAGCACCACAATTGAGCCCCAGAAGCTGCTGGAGTATATGCGCAAATACAACATTCTATTGATTGACGTGCGTTTCCGGGACCAGTACGATAGTGGCCACATCTATGCCTCCTCAATCCTTTGCATTGAACCGGTGGCATTAAAAGAGAATGTGTCAGCGGAGGAGCTCGAAGAACGCCTGGTGGTGTCGCCGGAACATGAGCAGTCATTATTTGAGCGGCGCAACGAGTATGACATGGTCGTTTATTATGACCAGGGAACGGCGTCAGTCAGTTATCTAGCCGGATCTCCTGTAGGCACTACGGCTCCTCATCTTCGAGCCCTGTATGACACGCTTTACGAGTTCAACGCATATAAGCCATTGAAAGATGGACGACCTCCTGCACTACTGCTTGGCGGCCTTGACGCATGGATCGATCTAGTTGGCCAGCAATCTCTTGCTACATCCTCCACTGCTGCTGTGATGGGATCTTTGCAAGCAAAGAGGCCTGCCAGAAGGCCAGGGCGACCGCTAGGAAGAGTGCCTACTATCGTCAGTGCCAATTCTAGCTTGGAAGTGAGGAAGAGAAGATTGCGCGAATATAAGCCACTGAATCCTCAAGAGCTCACAGAATGGATGGAAAAGTCTAAGACGGAAGAAATCGACCCCGGGACCTATGTCGAGGAGGAAGCACTCACGGAAGAACCGGAAGGTGCTGAAGAGCCACCTGTCTCTCCCTTTGTGCACACATATGAGGATTTCCTGCGGCGCTTCCCGGAACCACATACAATCCAGCAGTCAATGGTGACGCCGCATGTTCGGCCGGCGGGGACACCCGCACCCAACTATGCTGCGCCTGTTCCTGTTGCCCCATCAAGGCCTCCGCCTGCAGTCCCACGGCCCAGTTATAGTGGCGTTTCAGACGGCCGGCAAATACAACCTACGTTGGAGCGACAGAACTCTGCCACCAAAACAGCTCTCTACACACCAAGCTCGATGCTTAACCGCCTGAAGCTCCCACGGACTGGCTTGACTAATTTTGGGGTGACCTGTTACATGAACTCTACCCTTCAGTGTTTGAACGCTACAGTGGTGTTGAGCAAGTTCTTCATCGACAATCGGTTTCGGTACTATGTACAAAAGAATTGGAAGGGCTCCCAAGGCGTTATGCCGGGGCTTTTCGCGAATCTGATCCGATCGCTCTGGAAGAACGACGTGGAAGTGATCATGCCGACCTCCTTTCGGAATTTTTGCGGACGACTGAATCAAGAATGGGCTATCGATCGCCAGCAGGATGCCAAGGAATTCTTCGACTTTGTCGTCGACTGTTTGCACGAGGACCTCAACATTAATTGGCAGCGGACGCCTCTCAGACCCTTGACATTCGAGGAAGAGATGCAGCGCGAGAGAATGCCCGTTCCCAAGGTTTCCAAAATTGAGTGGGATCGCTATTGTCATCGCGAAGAGTCGTTCATTTCATCGCTCTTTGCAGGCCAGCACGCGAGCCGGCTACGCTGCACCACCTGTAAGCGGACATCAACCACGTATGAGGCATTCTACAGCATCAGTGTCGAAATTCCACCGTCGGGCACGGGCGACATTTATCAATGCCTCCGCAGTTATTGCCAAGAGGAGATGCTGAGTGGGGATGAGGTGTGGAAATGTCCGTACTGCAAGTGCGAACGAGTGGCCACCAAACAGATCATTATAACGCGGGCGCCGCAGATCTTGGTCGTCCATTTCAAGCGGTTCTCGGCGTCGAAGACCCAGACTGCACGGAAGATCCATACGCCTATCGACTTTCCTTTGCACGGACTCCGGATGGATGACTTTGTCTTCTCGGCATATAATCAGGGGCAGACCAACGGATTACCCCACGACCCGATCGCGGCGACGGTGCCTCCGTTCACGTACGATGCGTACGGAGTCTTGCGGCATATCGGGTCCTCGATGGGCAGCGGGCATTACATCTCTCTGGTGCGAGATGCGCAGCGACAATGCTGGCGACGATTCGATGACGAGCGGGTGACCGATTTCAACCCGCGCGATCTGCGATCGAAAGACCGGCTGCAGAACGAACAAGCCTATATTGTCTTCTACGAGCGGGTGCCCGCCAAGTAAAGGGGGCAGAGAGAGACGGGGTGGACGTCTTCCTTATATAACGGTCTCATTTTCTTTTCCTTTTTCTTTGTTCATCCCCTCACGGCCCGCCCCTGTCTGGTGGTTAGGGAACGGACTATGATGTAGCGTTGATTCCGCTTTGGCATGTGTAAGAGTTGCACTGGGACAGATGACGTCTTCTCATATACCCAGGGTTTCTTTTCTTTCTGATCATATTTTGCGATTGCAACGGGAGACGATGACACGGACTTGCATGAGGGATGAATTTGATTTCCAGCATGGAACGAACTTACTTATATATCCTTTGCTATTTTGTTTCTTTATTTGCATCATCATCAACCATACCTATTTGAGCAAGACATGTTGACATGGAATGGGCTGGCTGGCTGGGCCATTGATTTATTTCCATCATTGATTACCTATTTAACTTAGGTTTCCTAAAGCGATATGGGACTATGTATAGATATATAGTTTTCAACTACTTGCCGAAGATAGACAGCATTGGATACTACTACTTGGCCACTAAGTGATGATGAACATTCTCGAACCCCACAATATAGCCGAATCATAGATAGAAGTTCCCTATCTAGTAGATATCCACTACGGAGGACACGGCAGATACTCTAGTATGGATATTCTCCCAAGGAGGAGTAACATTCCGCGCGGGAAGGAGAGGCGGGGAAAGAATGAGTGACCAACTGGGGCAGTTAATCCCGACGGCGCTACCCGACCAGTTCCCCTCCCCGAGGTTACGGCTATCGAGGGATCGCAGGGTCGGGATTTACCATTTCAGTGGTAGCTACGGAGTAGTAGATGGGCGGAATTACGGAATATGGTTTCAAAGTATTATCTTCACTGAATTTTATGATCATTACATAGCAGATTAGTTGTTATCATGTATTCACAGCTTGATTGTATATACTATGAATGATATTATTCTACAAATATGTATGAAGTACTAATAAATAGCGGATTATAAAAGTATCGCGGAATTGTAAAATACCATCTAGAAATGTGAATCTTACTGGGAATGGCTGTCACACCACAATAAGGTGGTGGAGGGTGGAGCAGACGGTAGGCAACTAAGTCAGTCACCGGAAGAAGGTCAACCAAATTACATTTTTCTGTGTAACTTCCTCCCCCGCGGAGGTTATTCCGAGGTTTTGATTTTCAGTGGAGCGAGATAAGGCTAATCTTCTTTTTTTTCTAGAATAATTGGAAAAGAATCGATGACAACCATCTGATAATGGAGGAGGGGGAGAGAGAACTACTGTAGTAGTATAGGCAGTTACAACACAAACACCAAATCAGGTAAAAAGATCCTGAAGACCAAGACAACATTTAAAACCAATATGCAACATCTAGACAACATCATCAATCAATTCACTAATCCACCGGCATAATTTCTGATTATTGATCGACGGCCCGTTCTAGTCACTCGGCCCCATCAGGACTAGTGTGTGAGTTACACTGACTAAGCTGAGAATAAGCCTGCTGTGATTGGCGGAGAAGAGGCCATCCCTATCAGGCCACTTTTCAGGATTGCCTGATTGGGAACAGGTTGAGAATTGAGTGCAGTGAGTCCGATCGGAGTACGTAGTGTAGAAGATAGCATTGACAGTAGGCAGTAGTAGTGATAATCGGTGAAATGTGAATACTACTAGGGAGCAGGCTGCCGGCAACCCGGTAAATCCCCAGGTGGCCGGATGGCAGTCACGGCTCCTGTGTTTGGGATTGGAATAATGTTCCTGGAGGCCCATTTAGTTGTTAGTTGGAAGGCGGAGTCGCTGTCGAATCACAGGCGCCAGGGGGGCTGCCTAAGGAACCGACAGTCTTTCCCATCTGCTCGGCTTCCTTCTCGCTCCTCCTCTTCCTCCTTCTCCTCTTCTCTCTTTCTCTTTCTCTCCCTCTTTCTTTCCTTCCTCGGGTTCCTCTCTAGTCTCTCTATTCTTCTCTCGTCTAGATCGTCTTCTGTGATCTGCCTCTTTTGAGCCTTTGTACCTCCATACCTTCAATCTCATTCTTGTTGAATCTTCGGTGAGTCTCCGCCCTATCGCATTTCTTCTCCCTTGCGATCTGGTGTTTTCTACATTCCGAGGGACAAACCCTCCAGACAGGCGGGACTCGGGGATGGTTCACGCTTCTGGAATTGTTACTCGCGCATTGTCACTTCGCTCTATACCATATCGCATGAAGTCAAGATCCATGGACAGTATTACGATCATGGAACTGTCTTGGGACTGTTCCCGAAATTCTTTGCTTATCACCTAAGCCCTTCCTCTGCTCTCACCGATCAATCTCCTTGGCTTTATCAGTCGCTGACTTTCACATTCTTTATTCACACAGCTAGAACACTTTACTACCACAACCATGGCCGACGCAAAGGAATTCACCTTCCAGGAGGTTAGCGCTCACAACACCAAGAAGGACCTTTACATGGTCATCCACGACAAGGTCTACGACTGCACCTCCTTCGTCGATGAGCACCCGTACGTTCATCACCGTCCTTTTTCCACATGCATATCCCTTCCAAATTGAGCCTCTCCACCCTCCCCCTCGCCTCAGAGGTTATACTTGCCCTCTACCCCTCAAAAAAGCAATGAGACAAATCGCGCAAGGAAACACTCCGTCGGATCAAAGAAGTAAAACAAGCTAACACAATCTGCCCTCAACAACAGTGGTGGTGAGGAAGTCCTCCTCGACGTCGGTGGCCAGGACGGCACCGAGGCCTTCGAAGATGTCGGACACAGTGACGAGGCCCGTGAGATCCTGGACGGTCTCCTGGTCGGTAAGCTGAAGCGCATGGTACGTCAGACGACAAGAAGCCAACTCGCAAGACAAGTCGTTCACTCACACTAACACAATTTCATCAGCCCGGTGACCCTGCTCCTCGCTCTCAACCCCAGTCTTCCTCCGGTCCCTCGGGCTCCGGCGACAGCGCCGGCTTGGGTGTCGGTCTCTACGGCATCGTCCTGGTCGGTGGTCTGATCGCCTACTTCGCCTACCAATACCTCCAGAATGCTTCCGCCGCTGAGACGCAGTAAACGATATCCCTTTTTATTTTATTTTTATTTTTTTTTCTTATTATAATTAATAAATCTAAACAAAAAGAGATGAATCCCATATGAACTGAGAGCCTTTCCCATTTCCCCCTCTTCGTTTGATCCGTGATCCACATTTTGGCCCCCTGTTCTGAAAAACGGTCATTTCTTCTTGGACCGGTCGATTTCGGCTAGTTACCTGTTGCTACTTTTTTTTGTCAGCATTAGGGGCCTGTTGGGTGATACCCAATGCAGATACCCTTTCTTATTTTTTCATGGAACCCCCCTGTTCTCGTTCCAATTAGAGTGCACTGTCACGGATGCTTATGCTGTGTTGTTTTCGTGATTTGGTAGCGGAGAAAGAGCTGTCATAGATTCATGATTACATGAAATCTGAAACATAAACATGCTAGCTGTTTGGGTTCAACTTGATTTAATTTTGACTTCTGCATATACAATTGTTTCTACAATGACAATAAATCTAGTAGCATACCCAGTAATATTCTAGGCTTTTGACATTTGGACAATTATGTAATGCATATGATAATATTTATAAGAGGAGTGAGGCCTAATCACAGGATATTCGAGGCAGGTTATGCAATTCGTCAACCGCCCAGCAAATGCATGTAGTAGATGTATAACACAGTCTTCTTTTGGAGAGAGAGAGAGAGAGCACATAAGACAAAGATAGAAGGAAAGGAGATTATAAGAAAAGAAAAGATATCATGGTCGCTCGACGATTCTCATATATCACTCTGGATATATGTGGAATCACCTAACGGCCTTCCTCCCCTTTATGACCGAGAGTTGCCGCTCAAGCCAGCGCGGACAGCCTCCAGGATCATATCCTTGGCCTCTTCCAGGCCCTCCTTGCTTCCCTTAATCTCGATCGCCTCGCCCTTGGCTTGGTCCTTGGGCACATTGATCCGGCAGCCAGTCTGCTTGCGGATCGCGTTGATCTGGCTACCACCTTGGCCGACGACGAAGCGGTAAGTCTTCGGGTCAGGCAGGATGAGGTAGCCAGTAGCGGACTGCTGGGAAGCATTGGCAATAGCCTTCTCCAGGGCCGACTTGGCCTTGGCGACATTGTCGCTGGTTCCCGACAGCACCCACGGGATGGTCGCCGGCTCGGAGGGATCGGCAGCGGCCGGGCTGTTGTCCACGATCTTCCATGAATGAGCCTCCACGGCTTCGCTAGGCTCATCTGTGATCAAGGGGAGAGAAGAGGAACCGTTGACTGCACCGCGGGAGTCCTCGGAGGCAGGCTTGGGAGGCACCTGCTGCCCGGCATGGTCCACGGTAACGCGGTAGTCGTTGCGCAGGCGACGGAAGAAAGAGCCATTCTCAGAAATAGCATGGTGCAGGTTCCGGGGAACTTCCACCGTCTCGCCCTGCTGATCCTTGAGCATGGACTCAATGTGCTCCTTAGCCTCCGCGACTGCGTTGCTGGGTCCCTTCAGCTTAATGTCCGAGCGTCCGGATCCCTGCTTAGGAATGTCGAGCGTGATGTTGAACTTGGACTCAATGCCGCGCCGGGTCTCACCTCCACGGCCAATGAGCAGACGATGCTGAGACGGAGGAACCTCAACGGTCGTGGTCACCTGATCCTCACGCTCCTTGACAAAGTCCTGGATCGCAGCGATGATCTTTTCAACCACTTGGCCATTTCCTTCAAGTTTGATGGCCGAGTCACTGCTCTCTGGACGAGGGAACTTGACCATGCGGGAAGCACTGCCATCGGTGGGGCCACCAGCCTCGGCGACGATCTTGCGGATGTTGGCACCTGCGCAACTGTTAGTTACTCATGCTACCTTGGTAAAAATGGGCACAGATTACTCACCACCACCACCAATGAGCGACTTGTGGTACTTCTTGTCCACGTCAATCGTCTTCGTGACGATGGAGTCGAATTCCTTAGACCGCTGCTCCAGGATCTTCTTTGCCTCCTCAACCTGCTTCTTGGTGCCTCTGATCTTGATCTGCACACGGCCCGACTCATCCGGAGCATCGTTGACTCCCGGAACATCAATCTGGGCCTCGGTGTCGGCGCGGAGCTTGTCCATCTCACGACCGCGCTGGCCAATCAAGGACGGAATTTGCGCTTGAGCGACAGACACTGTGGCCGTGTAGGAGTGGTCAATCACCCACTGAAGCAAGCTAAGGATTTCATCGCGTGCAGCATCAGCACCCTTGCTGGGACCCTTGACGATAACCTCATCCAGTGCCTGCTGAGGGCGGTTGGGGCGAGAGCCACCTGCGTCGCTAGATGTCTCGGCGACGGACTGGTCATCGCTGGTCGTAGCAGCCACGGCAGCACGTGGGAACTGCACACGGACCGAGTAGCGGTCCTGCAGTTTGTTGACCTGGTTTCCCTTCTGGCCAATCAATTCCCGATGATACTGGGCAGGAACCTTCAGAACATGAGTGGTCTCGTCCTCCAATTTCTTGCCCAGGTTGATAATTCTAGCCTTGGCAGCATCGGCCTTGGCCTTGGGTCCTTTGACCTCAACCTTACCCCCCTCGACCTTAATGTCGACATCAAACTCGTCACGGAGCTTGTTGATGTTCTCACCGCGCTTGCCAATCAGGAAGTTGGCATACTTCTGGGGGAAGTCGAAAGATGTGGTGTATCCTCTTTCGAGGTCATCCTTCTCCTGCTCCACAACAAACGCCTGGATCTTCGAAGCAAGATCCTCCACCAGACGGGAGGGTCCACGAAGTGCAACCTCGGACTCGTTGCGGGTACGTCCATCTCCGACAATGGCGCGAACAGGGATCTCGTCCTCACTCTTCGCTTCCTGTTGACGGGAGATGAACTTGCGAATCTTGTCCTGGTACTTGCCGGGCACGCTCACAGACGTCGCCACGACATCGTTCTGGTCACCGAGAGTGCTCAGAAGATACTCTTGAGCTTCCTGGAGGGTCTTTTCGAAGGTAGCAAGTTCAGCGGCAGAAGGTCTCTGACGAGGAATCTCGACCTGAGCAGCAGAAGCGGAAGGACCTTCATACACCAAGACCACGTCGGAGCTATCAAGCTCATCAGGCACAAGAAGGTGAACGCCATAGTCACTCCGCAACTTGGGAATGCTCCGAGAGCGCAGGTAAGGGTGGAAGTAGGGGTCGACCGCGAGGCTACGAAGTCTCGTCGGAGGGTGAGCCTGGACCAAGTTCATGATATCGGATCTTGCGCGAATGGTGTTCTTGCCATCTCTAGAGTAGACCTCCCAGGTCACAGGGCCGTCCGAGCTGGGCGGAAGGGCGATCCGTGCGTCATACATTCTCTCCAGCTCCTTGATGATTTGACGCTGTCTAAGGTACTGGGTCAGGGCACGAGCATGGGCGTGGGGACCCATGGGAGCACCGGGGTGCTGACGAGAGAGGTCAATGCTTGCCATCTGCATGCTGGTGGCAAGATCCATGGCCCGGTTGATACCATTCTCGATGCAGTCAAGCGGACCCGTGATGGTGAGGAATTCGCTCTCGTCGGATGCAGGAGGCAGGACAATGGCACAGCCAGTGTCAGCAAGGAATTCGTGCAGAGCATCGGCATTGTCGCCAAGGATGAACTGATGCTGGCCACGGTTGATGGCGAGCTGGCGAAGCGTGAGCTGGCGTTGCAGGTCGGCGGCAAGTCTCTCAATTTCCGCGCGAGCTTCTTGAGCGGCCGCACGCTCACCAGAGATGTGGATGTGCTTCTCGGGAACCGGCACGAACTGGACGTGACCCGGATCAGCCTCCTGAGGCGGAGGCTGACTCTGCCAGGTGTCGTATCGGGGGATATGCACTTGCGCCTTGGTACGCTCCTCGATTTCCTTGAGGTTGGCATTGTGAGCACCGGCGATGAAGGGGAAGAACTCCGGCGGGACGGATTTGAGGCGCAGGCTCATGTTGGAGGCGCGCTCCTTGACGATCGCTTCAATCTCCCGACGAGCCATCTCGGCCGCAACAGCATCACCCTCAATCAGGACATCGATAGTGTCACTGTCGTCATCGTCCGCTCCAGGGGCAGATTCCTCGGCGCGCGGTACCTGCACACGAGCGCCTGTCCGCTGCTGGATGTCTTGAACGACGGCACCCTGGCGTCCGATGATGTGAGGCCGAGCGGATGTAGGAATCGGAACGCGAACCGATTGCTATGGAAAGACATTAGTCGACAATCCACCCCAAACCTCGATTACAACGGAAATACATGCCTTGGATCCGACCTGCTGAGCGACTTCCTTCAGGGCCTGCCTGACCGCATCCACGGAGCCTTTACCCTCGAAGATGATGGAGCCACCGGGTCCGCCGCGCATGTCGACATTGGCCTTGGATCGCTTAGAGATATCGCGCAGGATATCGCGCAGAGGCTTCTTGAGCTGGCCTCGAGGGAGCATCTGCGAGGGCGCCAACCGGAGCTGTTCCATGTGCTTTCCGGGCAGACTCATGATCCTGGGAACCTCAGAACCAAAACCACCGGGGGCTAGTTCAGGAATAAATCAGCATAACGATGCGATTTTTCAGACAATGGAGCGGGTAAAAACATACCAGCCTGTGCGCCGCTGGCAGCGCCGTTGGCGACGGCAGCAGCGGCGGAACCGCGGGCACCCCAAGTAGAGGCGGCGGGGACCTTGGGCTTCGGACCACTTCCAAGAGCCGGGAAGAGTTCCTCAGACTGGACATCAAGAGCAGGTGACTTCTTGGGAGCTGGTTTGGGGGCTGGAGAGGCGGTTGGGGCCGGGGCCTGCGCCGGAGTGGAGGACTCGGCCTCGGTCACCGAGGTAGACGGAGGGGGGTGCTTCACATCCTCTTCATCGACAACATCTTCCACAGTAACCTTGTGCGCCTCATCACGGGCATGCTGCTCTTCCAGCATGGCAGCCCGAGACTTGGCACCGCCGTTGACATTGACACTCGACACTTCGGAAGCCATGGTAGCGGGACGATCGGTGGATTCGGAAAGATCTCGAACGGAGAGGGACGGAGGGGGAGACTATTGCTGAGTTCCGGGTGAGGTTAGAAGAGACCAATTGATAGTCTGGAAGGTGCTCCGACATACCGACAAGTAATGCGAGTTGATGAGATTATAGCTGGCTGTTAACAGACGTCCAACAGTACCCAATGATTGTTGAGCTAGTGATCCAAAAAAGAATAAATGGCCTGGGGCCGCAAAAATGTAGTCAAGAAGGGAAAAGCTCAATTGCTACCAGCAGAGGCTAAATGCGAAGAAAGTATTTATGGTGAAGGTGAGTCCCAAGATTAAGCCGAGAAAATGAGGGGGGAAAGTGGGAGGGAGAGAGAGAAGAGGAAACAAAAGACTAAAAGTGGAAAGGCGGAGAAGGAGGATGGGAAAGGATGAGCGGAGGGGAGAGAGAGAGAAGAGGCGAATGGAGAGGAAGAAGAAGGAGGAGGAGGGGGTCAATGTAATTGACACAATCCAGAGGGGAGACGATAGCCACGGAGAGAATCTGGAGATGGGGAAGGGAAAGAGAAAGAGAAGAGAGGGAAGAAGAGGAA